GGGCAGGCTGAAGTTGCCTGCCTAGCACCATGATCTGGATTCATTCAGCCTAACTTCAAAGCCTAATTCCTTAAAAGTTCCCTATGTGAAAAATGACAAAAAGGGTAATTCAAGTACCTAAGACCTGTGGCATGACAGCGATCCAACTCTATGCCTTATCATTGTGCAGGGAGCATCTGCATTGACAAGTCTAGTCTAGAGTGACAATTGGTGTGTCCACCCAGCTGTAACTGAAAAGCAGGGCTTCTGATCCCTAGGAAGTGGAAAGAATGGCTTTCATTGACAAGAACACTAGAAGTTCCAGCAGAGCCCAGTTTCCAGGAGTTTCTATGCCTCTTTCAACCCTGTCCCTACCACAATCATCCTTGGCTGGTTCCCGGCTTTCCTGAGCTCTCAGCCTGACACTTTTGAACAAAGCTTTATTTTGTAGGAAAACATCCAACCAGACTGACCCACAATTCTGATGCAACCCATGCTGTTCCTTCTTCTGGAGAAGCACTATGTGCAGAAGCACAACCCAAACCCTTCACTGTGGCTGGGATTAATAGGAGAGACAGGGAAAAGGTTAACTTTCTTCTTTGTTTGTTCTTTGCCTGCCAACAGTAATGAAGAACCACACCATATAAAAACCCACAGTATTACATACAAACTTCATTATCGAAACTAGCCAGCAGGTGTACTGAGAGCGGTGTAGCCATGTCAGCATGGAATTCAGCTTCTGCTAAAAGCCCGAGCATTCATCCCAGCTGTCTGGCACTGTGAAGATCTGCAGTGCCAGTGCTGCAAGCACCTGAACTAGCTAGTGTAAACTAGTAAGTACGTGCCTACATGAGCTGCGGTCACCTCCTGTCTATCATACGAGCCAGGCTGGGCTACCAATAACTACTTAGAAAAAGACTCAGCTAAAGTATAGGGAAAGCTAACAACTCTCGGGCCAACAGATGAGACCTTGGAATCATTAGGGAGGGTAAGTGGATCATTAGGCTGCCTTGGGCCCACATCAGGTGTGCTCCAACCAAACTGTTGCATCCCATTAGGGGCTGGTTTTAGTAAACTGGTGGGAATAACACTGGTGAACCGCAGCAGACTGAAGCAGGCAAACTGGAGACCTAACAGACTGGGACCATGGAATGCTTCTACAACACAAACGTTAAAGCATGCTGCAAACAATAAGAAAGATCTTCAACATTTAAGTGACCTTAAATTAAGACATATCTCCTTTTGCAACCTTAAAACTTAAAAACTGCTGTTCTTGATCCTATGCCAAAGAAATGATGAAATTTGAAGAAGTGGCTAGCAAAACCTACAATTACGATGAACTACAGTACTTTGTTTCTGAAAAATTTAGAACACATTTTGTAATACCATATAATAAAAATAGTCCTTACTAAAGCCTTTGCAAGCCTAGCTCACAGCCTACAGTTTCAACTGTTTAATGAAGTGTTAGAGCTTACTGCATTTTACTGCATCATGACTGGAGCTTGTCTAAGAGTCTTTACAGAAGCTGGAGAGAGAGTGAAGAAAAACCGGGTATAATACGTTAGGTGTTTAAAATACGTGTGCTTTATCTTCAGAATAGACTCTGTAACTCACCTCTAATATCTATCCATTTCTGAGCACCTTAACGCATCAAGTCACCTGCACTTCTTTAAAGAACAAGACATCCACAGAGAGATATCTGTTTTGTTGCTAGGCACTCAAATGCATGTTTTAATCAGCAGCATGTTTTCCTCTCTAAAGCACTAGTCAGGGTAACAGCAATGCTCTCTGGAGGACAGTGCTGATTCTAACAGACTACTAAGAATTGCCTCATCTTGGTTTAGGTAATGCAATGATGTCATGTTCTGTCAAGCAGAATACACATTACCCTGTAGAGGATGATCTCATGCCGTTAGGGATAGGGGGAAAAAAAAAATCAGGACAACGCATAAAGAATTTAATTAAAAATTGTTATTCTGCTCCTTGATATTCTTTCCTCTGAAAGTTTAGGTAAGAAGAGCTCTCAACTGTAAGGAAACTTAAAAATCAACTACCTGAAGTGAGCAATAGCGTTTTTCTAATCTAGCAGAATACATTCTGTAGGTTTTAGGAAGCTTATTTTACAATATTGTATCTGGGGAAAAAAAAATGGTTTTAAAAAACCCTATGGAGACAGAGATAGTGGATATAAAGATGATGCTACAATGATCTTTACAGGTACTAAGTAAAAAATGAAGTGGTTCAAAAAGGTCCAAAACTATGCTCAGCAAACTACCAAAAATGACCAAAGTCTCTCTGTATAGCAATAAAAGCAAAAATATATTTTGCCTTATTTAAATGCAATTGTTCCAATGCTTTTCTTTTGATAGGAAAATGATAAATAAAACAATGTTTTTACTCCATTCCAGCCTGGATTTACTTATTCTACCCGAACCTAATGAAAATACATTCACATCACCATATATCACCGCTGCCATAAGAATCATCAAGTTTCTTTTTAAAGCAGTATTTATGTGAATTGTGAACCACATAAGACAAGTTAATGATATAGTGATAAAAATAACACCAAAGCTTCTCAGACAGGGAAGGAAGCAAATAACTGAATTGTCTCTAGTTACCAACTGTATCTTGAAATATGCAAAGCACAGGAGACGAGACAACACATGTTCAGTATGTGTCAGCTGCTACAAAGCAATGACTGTAGCAGTATTAAAATACACGTCCAAAACAGGAACCAGTATCATAAAACATGTCCTTAAAGATTAGAAAAGGGCAGTTTTCCACCTCACATGACTGCAAGAGAAAACGTCAAGCATTCAAAGAAGGTATTTTATGTACATAAATATATACGTGGCACATTGCGATACTAATGCAGACATGCAAATTAAGAATTTTCCATTCTACAATGTATAACGATAACTGATAATTATCTAATTAATAATGGAAGGAAAACATAGAAGCTGACTGTATGAAAAAACTAAAAACATCTGAAATATACCATTATATTTTCTATGTGGCATTATCCCCTGTTAAATACTGCTACCACTGAAGGAAGCATGCTAATACTGTAACAGCCCTTCAGATTACTTCTGGTCTGGATGCGGTTGTCGGAAAGCACTGACACTGGGCCAGCACTCTGATCTTCCAAAAGCAAACAGACTTTTAGTTAGTTAGCATTAATCTGCAAAATCAGCACGACCTGAATTTATTCTGAGAATAGATGGGACACTTCCTTATTCCTCCACCTATACCTATTAACCACATCGCCACTGCAACAAATATTAAGGATCCTGACAAAGCTATTAAGGGCAAGGTGTGTTATTTTCAAACCTACCAACTGATGAGAAGCAGATAATTAAAGAAGAGAATTACCAGTTGGAGGCTAAAAGACTAGATTATCAGCACTATCCTTCAACCTAGCAGGGAACAGACTGACAACACCTTGGACAGGGCCTTCTACATGCTATAAAAAGTTAGTCACAGTGTCTGTGAGGGTGTCAAGTATGCTTTCCCTGCACCGGCAGGATCACTACAATAGAGGCAAGCGTCCGTACCATCGCCCCCGTGACCCTCATCTTGGGATGATGCCTCTCAGCTATCGCACGCTCACTCTTTGTTAGCAGCCGGGTCGCTGCAGAGCCATTTTCCAGATGAGGTTTAACCCACTGTATCCAAAGCTTTATTTTGGTAGATGCAAATGCAGTTTCAGGCCCTATGTTTCCAGTTAGTTAACAGTCTATCGGAGGGACACCGGAAAGCAGTTTAAAATTAAAGCACTTTTTTCCCTTTTTTTTTCCTTTTTCTTTTGCTTAGTCAGCTTCTCCACAGAAACAGGCTTAAATTAGCAAACAGTCTGCTTTAAGCTTCTGGATAACTAAGATAACTTAATAGCTAAGCCCCCGCGCTCTCCCTCCGGGGAACGGGAAGCGGCGAGCGCTCGGCGGGGCCGTTGCCGGTCTCCTTCCGC